AGAAACTACCTGAGGCTGAGTAAAGAACCACCTGAGGGAACAATCTCCAGAGGTCCCATAGGGCCCAAATAGTTTCTGTTTCCCCTGGCTGGAATGAGAAAACGTTGTAATTCATAGGACATTGGATAGAGCAATCAGAAGGATATTGCCTCAGTAGAGGGGATTAATTAGCCCCGGCCTAAAGGCTGCTTTGATGCCACTATCTAACAGCACAGCTAGTCCTTATACATTAATCTAACAAAGTAGGTACAATTATTTCCATTTGTTACAAATATTCCCCCACTATGGCGTGAAAAAAAGTGACTTGTCCAAAGATCGTATAACCAGTACATTTCGAAATTAGAATCTGTGTCAATATTTGATTACAAAGCCCATTCTTTGTTGAAGGTTTGGGGTGGGGTATGTATCTGATCCCCTACTAGTGGTAAAGGAGGTCAAATATATGGTGATGGAAGGAAATTTAATTTGGGGTGGTGAACACACAATGCAATATACATACGATATATTATTGAATTGTACACTTAAAAAAAAAACCTTAAAAACAAGCCTCAAATGGATCAAATTATTTCCAAGTAACTGTGTTCCAGAATAAAGCTCAAAAGTATTTATAGAAATACAAAAATATGCAATACCCATTAAGGTAAAATTCGCAATGTGTGGCATCTAAGAAAAAATTACCAGGCATGCAAAGAAGCAGGAAAATATGACCCGCAATCAGGAGAAAAATCAGTAGGAACAGATCCAGGAATAAAATAGATAATATTAGTAGACAAGGACGTTCAAACAGTATTGTAACTACATTCCATATATTCAAGAACGTAGGAGGTACATGTAGGACAAGCATGGGACTGTATGAGGTGTCACCAGTGAGTGGTTGATTTGGGGGCAGTGATATAACTTTCAGTTCAGAGATTGCATGCTCATGCCTAATGACTTGTTCTTTCCATCCCTACCTATCTATAAGTAACACTCTTGTTTGTTCTATCATGTATTTCATCTGTAGCATGTCTTAGAGGGAAATAACTTAAAAATTTTAATACACCATCTGTTTTCTCAGAAACTACTGCTTACTCATTGTGTATATTTAAAACATCCTATGAGTTTTACCTATATTTTATAAGCTAGTATTTTACATATAATCTATGCTTAATAGTTCTTATGAGTTTCATCCATCCTGTTTGTTTTTCTTGTATTTTACGGCAGATTACAATAATCTGTGTCCATACAATACTTGTAGCATCTCTACACAGCTATATCTGTCTATAGCCATATCCCTATCTCTCTCCATCTCTTTTTCTTAATTTCTCTCTCTCTCTCTCTCTCTCTCTCTCTACTCTCTGTCTCTCTCTCTCTCTCTCTCTCTCTCTGTGTGTGTGTGTGTGTGTGTATGCGCGTGCGTGCCTCAGTATCTGTATCTAACATGACAGCAGGGACTTTGGCTGTGTTGTTCACTATGATATCCTCAGCACCAAGACAGTGCCTGACACATAATAGGTGTTCAATAAATCCTTGTTTAAATGCTATATATGTTAAAGTTTTTCAAATACATATTGTGCGACATGGTCATTTCTCTTTGTTACTATTTGCTCTTGGCCCTTACAATGAAAAAAGTAATGAAGCTGCACTCGAATGACAAGTAAAATAATTTTACAAGATTGAATGGGTCAAAGAACTAACTAATTTGACCACAGTTGGTATGAATGAATAACCAGCCAAAAATAAAATAAAGGAAACAAGGAAAATGCCTAGATTTAATCTTACTCTTTAGCTACAGTGCCTCCACTCTACAATCCACTGTTCTAGTCCAAATGATACCTCTGCATTGGAGCAAAGTGGTTTCCAGGATGTACACTTATTAAGGGGCAAGGCAGAGGTCAGAACAGGACGATTGTTCAACTAAATAGAAAAGACTAATTCAGTATTTTGTAGTTTTCTCCACGGTCGGGCTGGGACAGGGTAGAAAGGGTATGAAGAGAAGGGGCTGGGCATGTTTCAGGTGTGCGAATGACTGGAGACAATGAGAAGGTGGGCCTTGTACGCCAACACCACCTACGGGGAAGGTGCTTGTTAGCTGGATAAATGCTGGGCTCTTTACTCAGCAGGGTTTGTATTTAGAGGAGGATATTATTGAAGCTAGAACTCACAATTCTTG